TAAAAGCGGTTAATCAATGGTATTCAATCAAACCAAATGACAGTCATCCCATACTGTGTACAAAGGCAACATAAAATTCAACGGCTGTCGAAGTCGGAACCAAAACTCCTTCGTATTTACTGTGGTGGCAAATGTCAATATCAACGCCACTGATTAGACTTTCGATGGATCCCTATTTCAAGGGTTGCTTAAAAGCAAGCTGACGATTGCTTTCGCCCCTGACAAGCGCCGATACCAATCAACGAATGAGCGAATTGTGGAGGGTCTGGAACCCTGCCCCAAAACACTCCAAATTTCCAACTTATGTAGCCCTCTATTTATAGAATTCACTTTATAATGGACTCCAAACTACGAGTAATGGCAAATTAAAAACTGATTGTGGCTGAGAGTCTGCACGCAATCGTAGGTCTATTCCCGAATTTCCAGCCGTCTAGCTTTCATAGTTCAGGAAGTTAAATATGCAGTTAGGAAGGACAGATAAACAACCAAACAAACGCTCACACGGATAGACCGAATCAGTCTTTCGTATGTTCTTATCAGTGGCATAAAAATGCACAAAAATAGATGAAAATCCGTATTTTACAAAAAGATCTGGTTTTTTTAAAACAAACCTGAATATTATTTACAATAGCCGAAACAAGTGAAGCACCCCACCAGTTTTGCTGCGACGCAGAATCGTCACCGCTCGGCAAACCCCAGTAGCTTAGCAACTGCCTCTGAAACAATTTCATCAAAAATCGGCAAACACACACTCACACGTTAGTAAACGAGAGGATCGTCGTTCGAAGAAACATTTCAAAAGCAAAAACTTATACGCTGCTCATTTTTGTGCTACTGCCGATTCTTCTTGAGAAAATCCGACGATACAATGATAAATTGCGATTTTTAGAGAAAATACAAACAGTGGTGGAAATTCCAATTATCCGTCTGAAGGACTGCATTGATATACTATTTTAGTGACATTACTGAAATGCTCCCACAAGTCTGGAGTAGCTATCCCAAGTCCTTCGATCTTGTACTGCGCACTTCCAGCCAGTAGTCACCGGCCTGTTCAATACATATGCGCTACCTCTTCGAGGCAGCCCGAGTGGTGGTTTAAATTTTCGAAAGTACTATTCAGAGGTTGTTAAGAAGGCAGGCAGCATATTAACATTTTTTACTTTTTCGAGTGGTTGCACTGATATCCTGCACTCAGCTTATCTGGTGGACATTTGATCACTACTCATTTTACGTTTTTTTTTTTGAGCAGCTGCTTAACCTTTATTGCATTACCAACCGCTGATCAGACTGACAAATTAGAAATAATTCTGAATTTAATAAAAACTCCCAGCCCAGAAATTCCAGAAAAGTTAACAAACACTATTTGTAAATCTCGAAAATTTCTGTTCCTTCACCGCCCCCCCCCCCTTTTCCCCTTCCCCCACAACAATCAGACGAATGCCTCGGGCGAGCTATGCTTTATTATTTCACTTTTTATTAAAAAATACAAAGCAATCCACTTTATCTTAAATTTGTATTTTGTACTCTCTTCTCTCCCTCCTACCCCCTCCCCATCTCTTGTCCCCCTCCGGTGTTGGAACACATGGCAATTTTTCAAAAAACCCTCCGCACTTCTCACTAAATAAAACCTTGTGATATCGTTCGAGCTCATCAAGTTGCTGCTCCTTCTTGTTCTGCTCGTAAACTTCGACTGTCTCTACGTCGTAGCGCACCGAGGTGGCCGGCTCGAGCAGCACCAGCAGGTCGCTCATTTTGATTACCCATGGCTCACTACGCAACCGCGTCAGCGGCACTGACAGAGTCAACTTGCCCAGCAAGCCACATTTCACCTAAATTATGATGCATCACAGATAGTATCACAGCAAACAGACAGCTGATCTTCACTTGAGGTAACGCAGCGCGAGGGTAACATCCAACATGAGAACACCTGCACAAATTTGAATAGTCCAAAGTAACCCCTAAAGATTTGATCCAGGCAGTTCAAACAAAGCGTGCAGCGCGAGGCAGGGCTGGATGTCACGAATGAAAACCTGCTTTGCAAATAAGTAACATAAATCTGCGGTCGTTTTCCCAGCTGCACTGATGATTCCCACTCCTACTCGCAAGCAGAACTCGGACGACTGAGGGATGAAACAGAGACTGCTTCGCACGTTCATTTGTAGTTGCTCGGACTGTCTTCTAATATTTCTTAACTTCGCCTCCGCCGATGCGTCGCGTTATCATCATGCCAAAAAACCTGTTTGCCACATTGCAACTGTATGATTTAAAAGAAAAAACTGTGACAGCTTTTTTAATTCCTGTCGATTTTTTGTAGGGAACTGCGACACTCAGTGAAAACTGCTTCTGTATGTGCCAACTCAAACAACCACCGCTTAGAAGATATTCACAAAACGAGAAATGCTTGCAAAAAAAGACTGACCTGTAGTGGTATATCGAGCTTGCGCAACGCAGACTTCTTCAGTGGCACATTCTCAAGCTCAACTTGCCCTGAAAAAACAAGTTATTGGAACCTTTAACGCAATAATAGAAAGTCAAAATATAAATGGCCGTCCATCAGTGGCTAAGGGCAGCGAGTGTTGCTGAATAGGATTGCACACAACACAACGCACCGAAACATTCCTCTTCAGTTATTCACTCCTCCTTTCTACTGCACTATTACAAATTTAGTTTTTTATGCGTTTTGTGCTGTGTAACAGCGTTACAAAACGCATACTGTCACGGGATTGTCTATGTGTGTATGTGTGCGTGTGTGTGTGTGTGTGTGTGTGTGTGTCCCACGTTTTGTCCTGCACTTTCAACTCGGGAACCACAAAAGCTAGGCGGCTAAAATTTTGGTATAGTGTTCCCCGCCA